CCCCAAAACCCCAAAACCCCAAAACCCCAAAACCCCTGAAAAGGACGCAGTAATTGAGAGGGCTATAATAATTATATTTTTTATAATATTTAATAAATATGCTGACTAGGTCACTTCTCAAGCAGAAGAATGCATGGAGATTTGGACAGGTACCTTCGATTTGTGTGGTGTGATAGTAACCTTTTGGAATTTAGAGATCCATCTCAACTACTACTAATTTCGATGGACAGAGCCAAGGAGATTCTAATAACTTTAGCAGATATTATGCTGTGATGGCTGGATCCATCGCTGCTGGTCTATTTGCTTATGCCTACTCGAATAGGAAATCTACTGAGGCCTGGCTTTTCAGAGATGACATTGGTTCTCCATACGGTATCAAGGGTTATGAAGAACAAGTAAACTCTGTTGGTGTTGATCACGGACACAATTATTGGCCATCTGAAGTAGCATTCCAAACCTATAACTCAGCAACGTAAGATTTTGTAAGGCTAATCTATAGCTTGAGAAGAGGATTCAAGGTCTTCTGCAGAGTTTGCCAGGGATGTCACGGAGCTATGCATAAGAAATACGATTTGCTTGTCGACAAAGGTTTCAAGCAGAGAGAACTTATCGATAGAATGGCATTCCTTCAGCAATTGCACCCAGCCCATCAAAAATATAAGGGAGACTACTTCCAAGAATGGGATTACAGACAGAGGGTCATTCATGACAGAATCTGGGCTCCATACTTCACGGTTCATCAAGCTAAGGGAGCTAACGGAGGTCTCTGGCCAAAAGATTTGACTCATGGAAACAGAATGAACCCAGGAATGATCAATCATGTTTACAATTTAATGACCGGATACCACTACAATCCTCCATTTGGATTGGATGTCCCAGAAGGAAAGTATTTCAATCCATACTTCGATCACATGATCATTGGTATGCCTCCACAGCTATATGATGGCATGATCGAATACGAAGATGGAACCCCAGCATCAGCTCCACAGATGGCTCATGATGTATCTGAGTACCTTATGTTCTTGTCTAGATCAAAGGGTCCAGACACCAAGGTAACGATCTGGCTCATTTTGTTCATGATGATGACCTTCTATCCAATTTCATACCTCTACACTAAATACCACATGGTCAACATTTTGTCCCACAGATTCGAGGTCTATGCTGTTAAGAATGGTGGATACAAGAAGTTCAGAGAAAAGATGTTCAAGACCAACAAGGTACCAGGAAACTTCCACGGACAATACTCATAAGGATAAGGACTTACACTGTAATACATGTAAAAGCACTAACATTTTCAATTCTCTCTTATTTTTACGGGGTTTTGGGGTTTTGGGGTTTTGGGGTTTTGGGGTTTTGGGGTTTTGGGG